ACTTATTTCAGTTATACTAGATATAAAGCTATTGCATTCTATTAGATTGAGAATTAAGCACCAATTACTTTAGAAGCTAAAGTTACACATCCAAGAATGGAATAATTATTATTCTAAGTTGGTGGTAAAGATCCATAAAATAGATATTATTCATTTAATGGTTAATTCCATAGACCTGTTTTAAGATTAGGATCAGGATCATTCTTTGATACATTAGAAGAATACAATCCTTTCTGTTTAAGTTGTAATCCTCAACCTCAAAAAGATTGTTCAAGTAAAGGTTTGATTAGAGCAGTCTCAGCCAAAGCTTCATAATTTAATGGTAATCCAGTTAATTCAGGTGATAGATTTGGAACTACTGAATAATATTCTGTTTAAGGATGGTTTAAATGGAATGGTAAGACATCAGAAAAAGATTAATTATTATTCAGATTAACATCTACTCTAGTTGGTGAAGATACACTCAATTATGATACTCTTAGTTGTTACTTTGATACCAGAGATTAAACTCTTAATTTCTATACTTATACATACACTGATTAATTAGGGTATTTTTATAATATTTAATTATAGATCTGGTAACCCAGAAGTTAGATAAATTGTTGAAGGAAAGACTTTTGTCAAAGATTGGTTCCATATTTATTTTGCTTATTCTAGAAAGAGTAGATAAGCAGATGTTATTGTTGAACATTCATAAGGAAAAGGAGCTTTATCTTTCAAGAATGTCAATCATTATGTTGCTCCTTCTCTCATTCTTTACTATGGAAAAGATTAATTAACTGATGCTTTCTAAGGATTTATCCAAGGATTAAATCTTTTCGCTTGTGATATTACTTATTAACCAACACCCAAACCAGTAGAAGATTGCACTCCTATGAAAGAGTATTAATCTCTCCTTATTTATTAGTCCAATCTGTTTAGCTGGTGATTAATATGAAAATGTTTCTTTAACTAATATTGATAATGTTGTTGAAGAATTAGAGAAAAGAAAGTAATTGATGTAAGATAAATAATTTGTTTTGCCAACTACATAATGTTTCTGTTTCCCATAATAAGGAAAGAAGACTATTCCTTAAAGATAAGAAGGTTTCCTTGAAATTTATGATGATGATGAAGAACCATAACAATAAGATCCTGTTGAAATATGAGTTTGTCATTAAAATCATAACATTATAATATCAATCAAAATCTATCAATGATATTTAATTACTCTTCATTTATTTTGAATGAGAAGGATCTTAATTCTCATTTTCTTGCTCTTACAAATCAATTAATGATGCTGACTTCTACATAACATTTTAATGGTCAAGACTTTGTTCCTTAGCATCCCAAAGATCAAATATTTGATCATTTTTTTATTCATTCTCAGAATTTCTAACAGAAACACAACAATTATTGTCTGACCTTTCATTAGATTTATCAGAATGTTGAGATTAATTTGTCTTTAATTAATAACTATTCAACTAAAGAATATTTGATGCTACTTATTTAAATTAATTCATATCATCTTAGAAATCTTGTTCTACTAAACCATAGTTATATTAAAAAGATTATTATTTAGAGTTTGTAGATTATTGTTATTAGTTTTAAAATGGGCTTTTTAAAATTTACTATTAGAAGATTTATTCAGAATTAGATTTTGCTGAGTTTTATTGCTTTGAAACTTCTTTCAATTCCAAACCATCATCTAAAAAATTAATTAATTATGTATTAGAACTTTATTTATTTTAATCATCTTAATTTTAATTCTATTAAAATTATAATGAGTTATTTAAACTCTCCTTTTTTTAATCCTTCGTTATTTGCATTTAAATTTCATCTTAGCAAATAATTTACATAAGTTGCTATTAAGAAGATTCATCCTAATTTCTAGAATTTTATTGAGAATTTAAATTAGATTAATCATCTTTATTTAAGAGTTCTGAAGAAATCTATTAATATTGTTGAGGATGATGTTAATCTTATGATAATTCATCCTAGACTGAAATACTTAATCTATTAGGATTCAATCTAGAATCTTTGATTTCCTATTATTATTAATAGCTACTTAAGAATCCTCTATCATAAGGGCTTCTTTGATGAGTAGTACTTTTAATTCTATCATCATCAAAATGATTTGATGATTTATAATTAATTTCATCTTCATCTTATTACTATATTTTATTTTTGACAGAATTATCAAATTGATTATTGTCAGGGTCACTTTAGTTTTGATCATATGAACAAAAACTTTGATTCCCATAGATATCTTCATCTTATTCATTATCTCTATTAAAATCATCAACATCATCATAATATTTCATTTTCTTTATCTTTGCTTACTGCTATTTCTACTACTCTTCTTAAAGTCTAGATTTTATTTATTCCATAATTGAACTTTACTTTATTGCTTATTATTCTTTCTATTCTTTAATAGATTCTAAATATTTTTACTATTCTTCTTAAAATTAACGTATTTACTTATCCTATTTTTACTTATCCTTAATTTCTAAAGTTAAGTAATTATCAATTTCAATTCTGCATAGAGGACATTATTTAACTTTTTAACTCATTAAAATATGATCAGCACAGGTAGAACATGTACACATATGTCTACAAGGTAAGAGTACAGTGTTAATCATATTATAAAAACAAATTACACATTCTTTGTCTTCTATGGTGTTTGGGTTCCATTCAGGATTGAATGGAGTATTCTTAACACCATAAAGTTCATGTATTTCAAAAAATCGATTTTTATTTATTACTATTTATTTAGTATTTATCAATTCGCATTGATAAGTTTATTCATTACAATCAATTCTATAAAAGTAAATTATCTGGAAGCTTTTTGTATTTAGGCCTCTCTGTATATTCATATATATAAACTTACCATTTCTATTATTAAAGTGTGATATTATGCATCTGGATTGACTCTAATTTTTTAAAATCTAAGAAGGTCAATAATCATGAACTCTATATATTTTGAGGGAAATTAGTAATTCAATCCTTATGGGCATTTAAATGATTGGGTTATACTCTATGGCATGCTTTTTTCATATCTAAAAACTCATAATTTCAAATTTTAAACTTTTGTTATTTTGCTCCTTTAGTTTCTGTAACAAATGTATAAAAAATGACTTAGAAATTGACATAGCTACTGAAAGTTAAGTCTAGCTAAATTTTATCAACAGAGTCATAAATTATTTCTGCATTAATTAATTGTAAATTCAACTTTATGATATCTACATTTCCTGATTTCGATTATTTAATCAAAATATTTGGGGTATCTTACACTTAACTTTAAATGACTTAAATTCATAATAAAAGTAAATTACTTTAATCCAAATTTCTTGATATTTCTTTTTAATTTTTTAAAATATTTCCCATATTAATTATTATGCAATAACAAAATTTTTCATTACTTGATTTAGTATTTCAAGAACAATAAATCTAGAAAGAAATCCCTAATAAATGCAGCATTTAAGAAACATCCAAATTTATTACATACAATCCTTTAGGTTTTTGTCTTTTTCTTGAGGCTAACTGCAATAAAGAAAACATTGATAAATTGTTATTTAGTTAAATATTGAAAATGATAGAAGATAAATTATTAGAGTTCGAAGAACGTTTAGATAATCGAGATTAAATTAAAAATATCAATTAACAATTGAATTTACTTAAGCCTCCTGACCCTTATTTTAAATCTAAGCCAATAGATGATACTTAATCTGAATAAGTGTAATAAAGTAAGTAAAATTTATTTTCAAAGGAAAATTTAGTTAATAGTCTGATATTGAAATAACATCCCCTTAAACGAATTAAGCATAAGATTAAAAGTCTATCAAATCTTAAAAATCCTAAAGATCAAGATCCTAAATGGGTAGAACACATACAGAAATTACTTAATTAGATCCAAAACTTAAAGCAAATGAGGAGGGACTCATTGCAAAAATATAATTATTTGATAAAAAACTAAAATAGGTTATTGAATAAGTTAACAAACTTTCTCAAAAAGATGACCAATTTTAAAGAAGAATTGAAATGCAAGTTTAATCATAATTAAAGGATAGTTAAGATAGATTGATACAAAATGATAAAGTTTTTAAATAATATTAGTAAACCAATTAAGAAATTATAGAAAATTAAAGAGGATATCTTAACCGAATATCTTAATTAAGATAAGAGATGGAGTATTTTTAATTGATTATAAATTAATAGTTATCTATAACAAGAATTAAGTCGAATCTAAGAAGATAATAAACTTCCCTTATTATAAGTTTAAGAGAGTATTTAAGAATTGCAAAAACAAGTAAATTAGTAATAAAATGAACTAATTGTATTTAAAACAATTTTAGAGTCTATTGATAATGATTTTTTGGCACTGCTTAAAAAATTTAAAGATATTTAAAATGATTTAGCTAAAAAGAAATTAAACTCAAGTATGGCTATTCATTAATATTTAAAATGAAATCATGTATATAATGTAAAAATATTATAAATAATAATATATATTGAATTTTCTTGCTATCCAAATTTCAATTCTAAAGAATAATGATAGATATAATTAAAAAAAAAGTAGTTATAAAGAAAATCTAATAAATATCTAAATAATTAAGTAAAAAATATTAAACATTATTATTACTCAAAGATTTCTCAAAAAAAAATATCTAAAATAATTCAAAATATATCTACATTAAATATATGAGTAAATAATTATTCAAAATATAAAGTATCTTGACTTAAGTATATACAATATTAATCATATATTTAAGAATAAAAGAAGATATTAAAAGGAATGAGTAGAAGAATATGAATTTTTGCTAAATAAGTTTGTAACATATTTTTATGTCCCTTATTTCTAACCTTTTATTAATAAATATATGTGTAATCACTAATATTTCAATATAATCTATTTTAAACTCAAATTATAGATTGATTGTATCATCCATATGGAATTTAACTTTGTTATTATGGATAGATCTAACATATTTGTTTATCCAACTTTTATCTTGCTAATTACAACATTAAATTAAGTTCATCTAAACTCATTCTTAATCCATGATCTTCTATATTCTAATGATCTTTATCCATGACTTTCCATTCAAACTAATAATTATAGAATATAATTACTATCACAATCAATTCAAAAATATTAAATATTAAAATTATAACCAACAACATACATATGAAACATCCTATGATCGTTAAAATTAAAGATTCATTTTATTATTTCATTTAATCTGCATTTAATGCAATAAGGACTATTGTTGCTATTATAATGCTTGCCAATATTACACCTGATGAAAGCAACCAAAATAGTTTATTAAATTTAAGGGGATCTTTTAATGATTTAAACAAACTGTATTCTTTATAAGTCTTAATTACATATTAGAATCTACAAAAATCACATTATAATCTTTTGATGAATTATCTTCTATTAAAATCCATGTAATTAGATTCTATCTCACTTTACACACATTTTTAATGAGCATATTATTGTATTCCTTTGCATTAACATGGTCTAATTAATTCTGCAGACCAATCTTATTCATTACAAAATCTACAATGTTTCTCTTCAAATACTCTAACATGAACTTCTTAAAACTCTTCAGGATTCATTTATTTAACAGATGTGCTTTATTCATTTGATGAATCTTATTATCTTTATTAATATCTTTAGCCTATTTTTGTATAAGTTTTAGGATTCTATCTTTTTACTTATTATGGTGTCTTCTAAATCCAATTAGAACAATCAGAATCAATTGGTGTCTAATAAAATGGATTATTTTATAATTCTAAATCTGTTTCATTATTATAACTTCTTTTTATTGTTGAAGCATTAGGAGATAATGCAGATCCAATAAAATCTCGTTATGTTTATTCTCTTGTTTATTTCTCTTTTACAACTCTTTATAATTATATTACAAATATACTCTAAATTTATTTCTTAATGTTAACTTCCCATAAAACTAAATGGTATTCTACAAGTTCCTGTTGGAGTTATTCGAAACGTTTCGTTTGCCATTTATTATTATTTAATAATTGTAATCTCATTTATTTTCAGCATTTTTCAATTTCACTAGAATTTTAGTCATAAATTAGTGAAAATTTATTATTTTTAGTAATGAGTTTAAATAAAGAGAATATTGAAAAATATTAAACAATAAAAAATCATCCAGCATTTGAAAAATTAAATTACGAAATTATTAAAAGCATATCTCAATAGCTTTTTGTACTCGATTTCAGAAAGAATTCACTTATTTTAAGAGAAAACTTTGATAAATAATCATTCATGTACATTGTGAAAAGTGGAGAATTCAAAGTATTATTTTATTGATTATAAGATGACTAAAAAAAATTAATTTGAATAAAAACAATCACGAAAGCTAATTATTGAGATTTGTATACTAATAAAAGGTGATACATTTGGAATTGAAAATTTTAAAGATGATGTCTAATAAAATTATTGCTACACAGTACTATTAATTATTTTTATATAGAGATTTCTTGTTGTTCTATTTAAGGTTCTTTATATGTTTTGGATCTTTCTTAGTTACAACTCATACTCTTTCATCATAATTATTTTTGTTCCTTAAGTAAACTATTTAAATATCCAATCTAAATTATGAAAAATCAAATCTATCTCTTAAGAGAACAATAATTGTTGTAATAAGAAAAAAAAGAAATTCTTAAAGAAGAGTCTTTATTTATAAAAAAATAAAATTTACAAAAATTTAGATCTCAGAGTTTTTAATAGACATATGCTGATAAAGTTGGCTTCATTATCTAAGGTTAAAACTCATATTTAAATTCAAAATTCAATAATTACTAAACTATAGATTAAGACAAATATATGCATGAATCAATTATGTAGAATATAAGGGCTATGAAATCAAATCTACAAGAATCAAACAAAGACATCAGCAAAAGTATTAATACTTTAAATACAACTCAGGACAGATTATAATTTATTAAGCATGATGATTATAGATCAAAAATGAAAATCATGAATTTATTAGGTTATAAATCAAAGTAGAAGAAATAAACAACTTATACTAGATTTTGGCATTTTAAATCTTTACCTGCTAATGGTTGATAAATTTATGTTAAATATTTAAGTCAAATATTTAATCACATCCTTTCTATTTTTAAAATTTAAACGAAATTTATATTATTTCAATCTTCCACTTATCAATCGACCAATTTTTTCAATTATAGAAATTATTTGGGGCTTTATATAATTTAAATCTCTTTCTAATTCTAAATAAATAAAATAATAGGTTTTAATTTTGTTATCTTTAGTTATTTGTATTATAATATATGGTAAAAATTTTTTTGTGGTTAAATTCAGTGAGTGGATCATGCTATTTATTGTTGGAGTTACTTATAGGATTGGATATATATTATATGCATTCGTTCGAAATAAAATTGAATAGAATGGTGTATTCTGGATTTGCTTTTCTTTTAATATAATGGAAATTATTATAGCATATATTTTGAAGGAAGTCGGAAATTATTGGAGAGATCCCTAGATAATTTTAAAAGAAAAATCAGAACGTAAAATTTAAAATAAAATTAATAGTGCTTTTATACTAATAATATTAATTTAATTTATGTATTCATTACTATCCAATATATTATATATATATAAAATAGAAAAGTTTCTTAATAAGAATCGACAGCTATTCATGAATTTCTAGAACTTATATAATTTCATCCTTATTTTTTATTCATTACAATTATTGATTGAGTAAATTATTAAATTAATTATAACTTTTACTTCCTATTTCTATAATGTATGAAAATTAAGAATCTCAATATTAAAATAATTATATAAATTATCCTTAGAATGATAATCTAATAGTTTTAGATTAATTGTTAGATTGGTCTTTTTTAACTTAGTTTACTTTACATTTAATTTATTCTATTCATAAAGCTTTTACTCCATCTTATTATTTAATTTGGCTATAGGTTGAAAACTTTTTCCTTTTCCTTATGTTCATCCATATTATTATATAACTTTCTGTAAGTATCTATTCTGTTGGTTTATTTATTTTTCTAAAAATTGAATTCAAATTCTTAAAGACAAGATCAGTTTTTGTTTTTCCTCAAAATAAATATTATAAGCAAATTACTATTTATTTTTTTAATCTATTTTTAATAATAAATATTATTCTGTTCTTAATTATACATTTTAAATGATTTAAGTTCTCTATTATTAACAAATTTTCATTTTACTTTATTTTTTTTATTTTTATCAATTTAATATTATAATATTTTTTATATGGAATTTACCCAAAAAGTAAACTACCTTATTTAAAATAAAGGACAGAATTATTTTAATATTGTATTTATACATATTTAAATCTAAAACGTTTACCTTAAATTTTGTACCTCGCTTTCATTCATTTTTTCTATTTTATTCAAATTTTTTTATATTTCAACCAATTTATTTTACTAGCTTTATGATAAAATTTACTCTCACTCTGCATCCATCCTTTCATAAAATTACAAATAAGATTGCAATTTGTTACAGAATATTTAATTGAAATTCATGCTAGTAATTTTTTTATGTAGATTTTATCCGGTTGAGATTATTAATATGAAAATTAATATTAAAAATGGATAAAAATGTTGATACTTAATTCACTTCTACTTTTTGGCGATAGATTCATGAGGAATATTTTATGATAGAAACACCTGTTTCATTAAATAATATGATAAAATAACATAAAAAAAGTAATAATTAATAGCTGATTTTAGTTCCGAATAATCCCAACTAATAAGCAAATGAATTGATTAATAAAGTCTTGAAATTTTAGAAAAAAAACAAAAGCAAGAAAGAAAAATTAAATGACTCTAATCTAATTCATCGTTTACAATTAATTTTGATGTAAAGAGAAAAATCATCCGAGCCAGTCAAATAATTGGTTGAAGAAATGATTGATAAAATTTGTGAAGCTAAACTTGTTACAGAACTAGAACATAGCACAAAATTAATGAAAAAAATTAATTCATAGCCAGAAGAAAAATAAATTGAAATTTATAATTAAGAAGAACAATAATTATAAAGTTTGCATTCTTAAATAGATTGGCCAGATTAAATAAGTGAAGTAATTATGGAACTTGAAAATGATTTAATATAGGTACAATAAAAAAACAATTTGAAGATTTAAAGGTAAATCTATATTTTTAATGATTTTAGTTTGTAAACACATATTGAGGAAATTAATAAATCATTAAGATATCAATATAGTATTTAGAAAATAGGAGAATTTGCTTTAAAAATTAGTAGAAATCAAGTTCAACATCATCAAGAAGAGTTAGACAATCTTTATAAATTAATTATAATGTATGAAGACTATTAAGTAGCTGAAAGTATTGGAAAGGTGATTTATAATTAAAAAGGTATAAAATTATGAAATTATTAATAGATTAGAATGTTACTGTTATTTTGGATAAGTATTTAAGTGAAAATCCTTTAGAGTTAAGTTTATAATAGTTTGAATCTCTTGAAAGATTAAGAGAAATTCGTATTAATATATAAGAATAGGATTAAATGCAAGATTAATATTTAGTAAATTAAGATTTATAGATGTGTCATTATTGTCGATAAATGATAGAAAAAAGTATATAAAAATAATGTACATATAATCATATTAATATGAATTTACATTAATATAATGATGATTTACTGAACTAATAAAGATATTGCATATCCAAAAAGAATATGTAAAAATTTTATCAAGACTTATATTCTGCAAATTACATTATTGAAAGTATTTAAATTTAATGAATAGTAGATGAATAAATTTAATGTTAAAAGTATTTTTGTTATAAATGCTTAAGATATGAATTTGATGAATATGATATTTCTGAAAAAGATTGGATTTGTCCATTATGCAAAGTATAACTATACTTTAAATTAGGGTTTATGTCTATGCATTAGATGTTAAAGAAATGATGTCATATATAAATTGAAAAGAAATTTATTAGAAATTAATGGAGATTTAGATACTCTTTATGATTAATCACTTTTCGAAAATTTAGTTAACAACAAGAGGAAATTGATTTAAAATATTCCTTTAGACTTTGTTAATAATTTTAAAATTAGTTCAGAGACTGAAGAAATATTTTCATCAAAAATTTGTAAAAAATAAAAATTAAATATCACCAAATAAATTAAAAAGAAGACTAGTTCTGAAACTATTTTGGTTTTGCCAAAATATTTAAATAGTATTGATAGTTCATCATAATCAACGAAGATTAAAAAAAAGAATAAATTCAGGAGACTAATTCCAAATGATAGTACTTTATTTTAATCATGATTATACTTAATTTCATATTTAGTAAAATAATTTTTCAAAATATTGTGGACTTATGATCAAATTAATTTAATGAATTTTAGCCAGCTTATAAGAAGCTTGTTCTATAAGATTAAGGATTGCTCAAATTATCATCTTAAAATATTTATGACGGATTATTATGATATTATAAGTATAGTGGAACTTGGTTTTATGTCTAATGAGTTAGGGTTTAATTAGATTATTAAAATTATTATTATGGTACAAAATTTTGTTAAATTCTAGAATTACCATATATATAAGGATCTATATAATCTAAGATATCTTTCTTTAAATTTGCTATCATTAATTCTTATTTTTAAGCCAATTTTTCTTCTACTTTCTAAATTTCATATTTTCTTTCTAACTCTTTAACTCTTTTTTTCTCTTCATTTTCTTTTTTTAGGAATTTATTATCAATTGAATATTACAAATAAGGTGTATAAGTATTCAAATTATTTGAAAATCCATACAAAAGTTAAGGAGAGTAATATATTGGTTATGGATAATATTGATTATTTAAATATTAAGGTTCACTTACTGGTTGAATCTAAGGCACTTATTCTTTTGGAGCCCTATAGTTTAAACTTAAAATTTTATCCTGTAAGTCTTTTAATCGACGATCAAATTAATATCGCTCCAAATTAATTCCTAAAGACATTTAATAAAATTATTTATTAATAGGATGTAATAGCTTCAGTTCATTAAATTTAAGGACCTTTTCCAAAATTATATACAGAAATAAAGATGAATAGTATCAACTTTAATATATCAAACTAATTGCTAATACATCACTCCACAAAAGGTTTTTTTCGAAATTAATTAAATTTCTTTGCTCTTCTAGATTCATTCTAATCTATGATCTAATTTTTTAAGTGAAATTTGACATCAATTTCCTTTAATTTTTCTAGATTTATTTAATTAATATTCATCAACATACCATTTAAGATAACTTTAAAATTTTTACTCATATTTTATATTAAAGTTTAAATTATTAAGAATATTATCAGGAAATCTCAAAGGTAGATCATCCTTATAAATAATAAATTTATGTATAACTTTCTCTTAAAATAACCCTTTATTTATAACTATATATTAACAAAAAATTATTAATTTTTTGTGTCTAGAAATAATTTTATCTTTATAATCAAAAATTTAGAAGGTTTTAATATTAATTAGATATATCTTATTTCTAAAGTAGCACAAAATTAATTAATATCAATGCTAAATCTAATCCAATTAAGTTATTTGCCACATTAAAATAAAAGAAAAAGAGAAATTTTTCAATTGTTGATTATATAATAAAACTAACTTGTTCAAGCTAATGATATTTTTACTTTTTGTTGAATATTGGACTTATCATTCTCAATAAATATTTTTCTAAATTTGTTGAATTTTTATTCTTAAAAGAAATACAAATGTAATATTAGGATTCATGTTTATTTTTGATCCATTAGTAATTAATAGATGAGCCTAAATATATTTAACAATATGTAATAAATATCTCTCTTAATTATTATCATTAATGAAATAATAAAAGTTCGAATTTAAATGTTATCATATAAAATATATAAAATTTATAAATGGAAAATTATATAAAATAAATATTAAAGTAATAGTAATCAAGGTCTTCGATAAGCTTTTTTCGAACTTTCTGTAAAGGATAATTTCATTTTACTTAATTTTTCTTTTTACTGTTGTATTTCTTATCTTAAATCCCCAATTGTTTTATCTGTACTATCTATCTGTTAAATTTTCTTACTTGGGGTCTTAATTCCAGTGCTGATAATAGGACTACAATAATTTAATTGTTTATTTGCTAAATAATATATATAGATGATACTTGTTAAGTTAGGTTATTGTTTAAAAGGAGATTTGTTAGTTACACTTAATGGAGATTTTTATTATTAAGGTAATTAAATAATATTTTCTAATTGATTTATTTATTGCTGATAATCTGATTAAATTTATTCCATTTATTTATCTTGTCTTTATTTTAGGTCTAAATATCTTTATTCAAAATATTATCTTTCTCTATTCATTGTATATTCTGAAAACTATTATTATGATAATCTAAATTGATTATAAATATTTACAATTCCTCTTATTATTCTTTAATTAGTGTATTTAGATTAAATAACTCTAAATCAAAATTTTATTTAAGTTCTATTTATAATTATTCTTATAATGATAGTTATCTCTAACATTCTTCATTCTCTTAATTTAACACTTTAATTTGATTTTATAATTCGAAATCATTCGTTTTTTACATAACAAGTTACTCAATTTATTATTATTTCTATCTTAATTTAATCTGAGCTTCTTCTTAAATCAAAAGTTCAGATTATTTAAATTACTTTCTCATATTATCTATTTTTTATTAAACATCATAATTCATTTATTCAATTTAATACTTTTTCTCTGCTTCAATCATTTTAATTTTATTATCTCTATTAATCAATTGCTATTTATATAAACTTTGTAATATTATTTTGCATTCACTTTCTAATTATTTTAATTTACTTAAAAGCATATTTTTCATCTCAAAAATTTGTATATTCATTTATTCTCTTTATCTAATTAAAACACGATAAATTCTTTATTTGCATGTTTTCTGCTTAAAAAGTACTTCTTCTAATTGTAATTACAATTAGCTTTTTTCATTAATAATTGAATTTATTAATGTTTTTGAATCTTCAGAATTGAATCTTTCTCGAGTCTATAAATCATTATATTCTTATTTTGCTATTATTAATTAATCATTATTTTTTTCCAAATCTTGAGCTAATTATTAATTTTAAATTTATAAAAACTCTAATTACTTATTACTTTCAATTTAATCTTTTTATAATTCAATTATAATCCTATTTTATTCATCTAACCTTTATTTGAATTCATTTTTTTATTTTCTATTCTCCAATTATTATTCTTATAATAGTTTTTATATTTTGTTATTTTCATCATTAAAATTATCCTATTATAACATCAACTTTTATTCTTTTTGTTATATTTCTAAGACATGTTATTAATTGATTTTTAGTAGCTCATCTTAAGTTTTTCTATAATCATCCTTTAAATTCTTTAATTTCATTTCAATTTTTTAGCCTAATCTTTAATATGAAAAACCTCCTTAAGTTTCTATTTCTAATCCATCAGAAATTAATTATAATAATTTTTAATATTACTACTTTTCTTTTTCAATTTCATTGAATTAGTATTAATTTGTCTTTAGTGTATTTAAAGTTTATTCAGAAAAATTCTTAATATCATCAAGTTCTGTTAATAAATTCTTTAGTTTTGAATCTTTTTTTGATACATCTAGGTCTAATTCTCTATTTAAATTCTCAAGTTCTTCTGAATGTGAATTTAATTATTAAATTTCTTCAGACTATTATTAAACTTATTACTAAAAGTATTAACATTATCTTTATAAACTATCAAATTCTAAACTATATTAGTAGAGTTTATCTTTGAATTATTTTAATTCTTTGTTTAAATCTTATATAATCTTATCTTTATTTATCAGTATAAATTCAAATTAAGTTTTTAAATTGTCTTCTAAACTTTATTTTTCTTTCATATATTGAATTTCTATTTGCTAAAATTATGTTTTATATTATTATTCTAGTTACTTAGTAGATTATTTATGATTTAATTATAATTAATTTAATTAATTTTCAGATTCCTTGATTAATTCTTAAAATTCTTCTAATTGTTATTATTAATGTAGTTGAATATTTTCAGCTTAATTTAATTTATTTTTTAAATCATTTATTTTATTATTGTTTTTTTCTTTAATTTGATCTAATTGGTCCTTAGATTTTTATTAATCTTAAATTTTTTTACTTTTAAGTTTTTCATTTTCATTTTTTAACAATTCAAGTTCTTAATCTAATTCAACATTCAAATCAATTTATTATTTTTATTATTTTTTCAATTCTGAAAGTTCTTTAAGAACTTTTTCAAATTCAATTTTGAAATCTCTATTTTATCTATCTAATTATTGATTTAATAAATTTAGAGATTCATTTTTTTATCTATATTCATTTTGATCTGAAGACAAGGTTTAATTTTTTTAATCAATAAGTAAAAGATTTTCTTTAATCCTAAGATTTTCATTTTATAATTATAGTTCTTTGTTTTACATGTCTTTAATTTATTTATTGAGTTTATCAATAGATAATTGATATTTCTAATTTAATCATAAAAAATGGATACTTAAAATTATGTTTATTGAACTTCAAGTAAATCTTGAAGATTTTAGATTTCTCTAATTTGTTATAATTAAAATTCTCTTTGTTTAGAATCAAAATCTTATAAAAGTCTTTATTCTCTTTCTAAAAATTCTCTTCTAATTTAATCATTAAGAGCTTATTCAGATCTAAGGATTGCTTATAAATGATGTATTTCATCTGTAAATTATTTAGAGAAGGCCTCAAGTGTGATTTCTTTGATTCTACTAAAGATAATATTTTTGGAATCCCTGTTTGATTCAATTGTAGAGTCATGTAAAATTTTGGTAGAAATATCGATTAAACATTCTAAAGATAAACGTTAATTTAATACATTCCAATTATGATTGGCTACTAAAGAGCTTGGATGATGTAATCATCTTTAACGTATACAAAAAATATATATATTAATCTGTTATATTGAATAAATAATAAAAAATAAGATTATGAAATCTCCTACTTATATATTAAAGAATGCTTATTAAGAACATTTAGTTGAATAATAATATATCAAACATGTTTCAAAGATATAAAATATTACAGCTAAAAATGTCTAAGTTAATTAGAGTGAGTAAGAGTAAATGAACAAAGTATGAGTATTTTATTAAAATATAACTTTTTAGATAAAATATTATAGATAATAGAAGGAGAGGACTCGTAAATTTATGGAACAACAAACAAAAATATTTAGATAGTAATCAGACAATGTATTAGCGAAAAAAATAATATCAGAAGATTCTAAGACTAGAAAAGTCCATGAAGCAAAAAGTGTAAAATCATTAATTGCAACAGCTTAAAAATAATAATCATATGAAATAGGTTTAGAAAATATAAGATTGGGTAAAAGAATATTACATTTACCATCTGTAATAAAGAAAAAGGAATTTGATAAATCTTATGCAAAACATGAATAAAATATGATGTATGCTAGTAGAATGAGAAATTAAAATAAATCAAAGACTCCATCTAATAAATTAATAAAAGATTGTGGTCCAATATTTACAGAGATACCAATAACATTCAAATTAGTAGTATTTAATAAAGAAGTAATAAATAATAAAGATTAATGTATAGTTACAAAATAAGGATTAAAAAACAGAATGTTTGTATTGTGTTGAGGTTTATTTAAAAGAATAATTATTGCAAAGAACAGGTAATAAGAAATGATTATAATAAATTTAGATTCTGTGGCATTTGAATAATTTTAATAATTAAGTTTTAAAGTACCAATGAATGAATAATAATATGAAGGATATTAGAATGATCCTTTAATTTTAAAGATTTGGAAGATAAAGAATAATAGTGAATTATATATGGGATAAATATTTGTAGGATTTAATGATTAATTGAGTGAGAAAGATTTAATGAAGAGAGTAAATGATAGAGAAATTTGGAATGGTTTTATTTAATTATGAAATTTATGAAGAATTTGATTTTTAATTAAATATTAATTTATATATAAAATGCTTCAAATATAGCACTAAATACCACCAGAAATAAATAGAATAAGATAATTGGTAATAAGATAAAATAAATATTAGATATGTAGAGCAGGTGATGATGGAGCAGATACATTTAAGAAGGATTTATAAAAGATAGTAGATGTTTTAGGGGAATATTATTAATAAAATAAATAGGAAGTCAAAGATGCAATGATATAATCATTTATTTAATGTGCAAAATTGTTACCACTTAAATCTGGGATATATGCTACCATACTTGCACTTTTATCTACTAAATAAGTAATTATTAATGAAGTCAATATTTTAATTAGACTACATAATCCTTGACTGACTCAATTATAATAGGTTTGCTTGAACATCTTCCTTAAATAGCCTAAGAAGAAACACCTATATTAGGATAAACTATACTAAAGTTTCTAAGTGAATTAATGAATGTTGGTTTAATCAGTACTGTGAGTTTTGTAGAATGTTTATATGATTTAGAAGGAGGTGCTGAAAATGAATAATCACCATTCTATTTATAAATATTATTAACTACACTTCCTCATGCTATGATTAAAGCTATGGAAAAGAATCAAATTGAATTCAAAAATATTATTTAGAATGTTGAAGTTTTAATGACTAAAAGAAAAACTGAAGATAGATTATATCATCTTTGGTAATCTATAAGAAACTTCTTAAATAATTAAGAAAAAGATGCTCATACATAAATATTTTAATAATTTTTAAAATCTTCATATCCAAGACCATATTTATTATTTCCAGATGAAATGACATAGGTTAGATAATAAAGAAAAGGTTTTAAGATTCCTATTGTAAAAAGAACATAAATTTGGAGACCTTAATAAATATTAGTTTTGAATGATGAATTAAGATCTCAAAATAATAATAAAACTGATGTTTAAATTGAAATTACTAGATAATGGATCTATGAAACAATCGAATTATTTAAGACTAATAGATAATAAATCATATTCCAATTTTAATTGTACTAAAGTTGTATCAAAATGTCTCCTTCTTAAGAGTATTTTATATTATTATGAATAGAGCCTAATTTAAGTAAACATTAATATTTACTCTATTAAATATGGCCATTGAAGTTATACCAAGAAAAGATTAATTATCCACTGCTTTTTATAGTGGACTCCTTACTCATTTAAGTTAAAGAAATTCAGATAGTATGAAAGAATGGAATGAAACTATTGAATAGTTTGTTGATTAAATACCATAGAATAATATCTTGATTGTTGAATAATTAAGTGATTGCTTATCACATTATTTCTGTAATTCAAATTTTAAATTAAATTGGGATAAATACTTTGGAAAATTTAATTCAGATGAAACAGATAGTTTTAATAATTATCTAGTCATTATGATTTTTAGAAAATTATTCCTATTAGTCAACATTGAAAAAATCACAGATCTAGTCCCTAAAAATATTATTGATTGGTATAATTCATTATAAGATATCACTAAACCTTTGGATTTTGAATAGAATTGTTTAGCAGAAAAAATTAATTTATATCTTTCATAAAAACTTAATGGAATGGAAATGTTAGAATAATTAAAATAATTCAATAATTACACTCCAGATATTATTATCTAAACATTTTTAGAATGTTTATTATAAATTATATCTAGATCTATTACTCATTTAAATGTCTTAAGTAAAAGATACCTATCTTTCCTCTTATAACCAAATATAGTCAAACCTGAAAAATTAGGATAAATTATGTTAAATACAATATTTAGAATGTGGAATCATTCAATATTTCATCTAAAGGTTTATTTAAAAGAATTTTTGAATTTGGAAGTATTTAGTAATTTACAAATAATCAATTGGTTGGGTGAAATTATTAAATAGAAATCAGATGTAATTCTATATAAATATAAAGCCATTTAAAATCTATAATGTTTTAATTGCAATCAATGATGTATTCAGAAAGTAGACAAAGCTAGATTAAGTTCAAGATTACACCTATGAGAATGTTAGAGATATTAATAACTTATTGAATAACATGATTGATTAAGAACAAGGTTAATATTTTATTAGAATATTTTTAGATATCATAATATAATCTAGTTTAGAGAATATCTAATTATAAATATTGATTGCATTTAAGTCAACAAATTAGGTTCAATCAGAAAAATTATTAAAAGAAATAAAATCAACTAATATAAAATAAATTATTATGTCCTTTTGAGTTTATAATACATTTTATAATAGATAATATATAAATAAATCTTATTTGTATCTTTTCATATGTTATATTAATAACTTGATTTATAATGTAACAATAACAGCAGAGAAATATATTAATAATAATTATACCCACATACTTTATGAAGAAATATATTAATTATGATTATATCAATATACTCTATTATGATGAATAATACACCTCAAAACTGACAAGAAAATACTTCTCTTATTTCAGAAAATATACAAGCTATAAAGAAGAATATTATATTATTGGCTTTAAAAAAATCGATCAAAAAATATAGTTGTTTAATTCAATAGATTTTACATACCTTTTTAACATTTAAAAGAATATAAATTCGAAAATTATAATATTATTTAGATCTCTAAATTCTAGGATTAATTTATTTTGAATAATAATTATAAGTAATCTTTTGAAATTTTAATTAGTTTTTAATATTCAATAACTTTAAAAATAGAACTTTTATTAAAATATGATGACAATTTATTTTAGAAAAGAGATTTATTTTGAATAAAGAATATGTAAAGAAATGAAATGAGAAATGGTAAACTGATATGTTAATTTATTAAGTATAATTTTAAACTACAATAGAAATAAATATAGATAAATAATCAAAGTCTTTTAATATAGATCTAGATGATTTTCTATATTCATTTTAAAATGAAATATTTTTATAATAATGAATTTTTTAAATTAGCCTTAGTTATTCTTAATTATATTTTTAAATGATATTATTATATTTCATTCATGTATTAAATGACTCTATTCACTTGATCCTCTCTAATTCCCATTATTTTATTCATTATTTTATTCATTATTTTATTATTATTGTAATTGAGGATTACTTGATTCATTACCTTATGGTTGCTAACTTTATTAAATCCCTGGTGATTGTCCTTAACCTTAATTATTTTCATTACTCACTGGTAAAACTTAACAGTTTTTTCTACACCATCTTAATCCTTCTTAACAGTTTTTTCTACACCATCTTAATCCTTGTTAACAGCTTTTAATAATAATACTAAATCCTTCTTAATAGAGTTTGAATAAGAGAAAAACTATTAAAATTGCTTAAATTAATATGGTAATTATTTTTAATGTATACAATATTTCTGAATCACTGAGTTAATTAAAATCATAAAAATTAGAAGCTAATTCTGTTACTATACATTATGAAGTGACAAAGGTTTAAAAACTTTATTTACTATTTTTAAACTAATGCATTTCTATTGAAATAAAAGCTATAATCAAAACATGAGACGCTATTTTTAAAATTCTGAAAATCAGTATAAGTAATAAATCAAAATGAATAAGCCCAAAACAACAAAACTTTCTTTTTTATTTATATTTTAGTTTAGTCAAATGAGTAAACAATTATTTAAATAGTAGCAATGATATTGGAATGATTAATAAATCTACTAAATATCTTTCATTTTTAATATTTTAGAGATCTTACTTTTCTAAAAAGTTTTCATAATTTGATTCATATTAACAACTATCCTTTATTTAAGTATAAGCTTTAGTTTATAGTGTCCAAACTACTGAGCTATTGACTTTAAAATATTTTAATTAGCGATTCAAAGCAATTAAATTGTTTGCCAAATAGAATTGATCTTCATTAATATTATAAACAACTTTAAATTAAGTATCGTTATCTAAACAAGGTTTTCTACGAATCTTCATTAAAAAGTAATCTGATCGATTAGGAGAGATATTATTTAATGAATTTTATTTACAGACTTATGAAGTTTCTGTCATTTAAATTTGAGATATAGGCATTAAAGTTTAATTCTTAATATAATAAAAATAAAGTCCATTTGATACTTTAAAGATTTTATCATATTAAGAATTTTATTATTAATTAAACTATTGAGTAAAACCGATTTATGAGATAGGGCAATCTACATTTTTTGGCAAACAATAAGTAAATGAACCAGATCCACATATTGTTTTTTCTTATTCTTGGCAATAAGAAAAATTATATCTTAATGATACACCCTATCTTCTTTTAGAACATAAAATAAATGCTAAATTAATCAAACCAAATACGTTTAGAAAAACTGTTATCATTTAATTTATTTAATTTTTTTTCTTTTATTTCATACAAGGGCTTGCATCCTCTATTCAATAAAGTTTCATTACACATATAATTAAAAAGAGTTTAATTATTTTTTTCTTTTAGTATTTTACTACAATCGCAACCAAAATTAGTACCTGGCCAATTATATTCAAATAAATTTTCATACTAAATTTAATTAATATAATATACTTCTTTAGGACATTAACTACTATTATCTATGGAAATGATATCTTCAATAATTGCATTATTTTGATTATCTATAAATTAATTATATAGATCTTCGTTTGGATATTATTATGAGTAAATCCAAAATATATAAAAGCCAAACAGAAAAATAATATTTACATATCCTAAAAATAAAATCCACCAAGTCGAACGTTTATCTGAATTTTTTTTTTTTTAATTTTAATTTACTACATTACTAATAAAGAAAAATTATCGAGCTATTCTTAAATCAGTTTATGATTTAGCTTTTAAAGATTATTTTTCTATTTTATTAATTAAATTATCGTCTGCTAATTTTGTGTCGACTCTGTATTTCATTTAATAATTATTCTATCTTTATTTTAAATTTCTGATAACTGTATCAAGAAATCGTAGGGTGGATTAGCTCATATATAAAAATGTAAAAAAATTATTAAATAAATGAAAGAAAAAAAAAATATATTATATTCTAATTCAAATATATGTAACTATTTCAAAATAACTCTTAAGATTATTTGAAAAATCTACATAAATGGAAAAATTACACTTCTTTAATATCCATATGTTGAAAAGAAACTAAGTTATTTTTAATAATTAAAATAATATTACTTGAGACTTTTTATATATTAAATTATTGTTAGGAAGACTTTAAAATGATTAGAACAAATAATTATGTGATGCATGAACTTAATATAAAATTTTCATAAAATTATTTATATAAAAAAGAAATATATCTAAATCAAATATCATTAAAGAGATGAAATTGATTTTCATATGTACCATTTGAAATCTATAATAATACTTTCAAAATTTTAAATGATTATCAATTCTAAATCTTACAGATTTTTCAGTTTTAAAAAAAGAATTGTTCCTTTGTTTTTTTAAAGCTGATTTAGGGCGTGCTCTTTATACTTCTGATTTATATCTATGTGAGATTCTACATTTTGGTATCTATAACTATTTTTTCCTTTAATCCATTAAAGTATTTGGTATTCTAATGTTAATTGCGCTTTTAAAGTATTTTATCTCCTTTGGGGATTCTGGAGGTTCTTTTGGCTAAATTTTGAGAGGAATTTATCTCACAGATCTTACATTGATATGATCAGTTAATAAATTGTTGTGATTTGGCATCATCTAATATTCTACAACTTTAGAGGTTAAACTTATCTCATTAATGCTAATTATGATAAAGATAATACTTAGAGATGAATATGCAATCATCTTCAATCTATTCGATTTAGTCTGAGATTATACTTTAATTCATAAATTAATCATTATATATGTATAGATTTACATGCTTATAAATAAATCACAAACTTACAAAATAGGATTTAATTGATAAATAAAATTATCTTAAAAAGTGGGACAATCAAAGGCAACTTCTTAAATTCAACCAATTTTATAAATATCAAAATGATCAAAAAGTGCTTTAAGAATGGATTCTTTTTAATTACATGAATTTATTCTTATTATTTTCAAATTATATAAATTTATAAATAACAATATTATTAAATAATTTATCTAATAAAAATAATGTAATCACAGAAATCACATAATTGTTTTAAAATTTATGTCTAGAACCTGAAGTGATAATAAAAAAGCAAATTGATGATGATTAAAACTTCAATAAATTTTATTTCATAAGAATAGCTTGAATGTAGATTAAAATTAACTTAAGATTAACCAATTTCTATTTAAAATATGATAAAACAAGGGAATTTGCCCAAAATTTAAAAACACATTTTGCTCTTCATGTAATATAAGAATCAAAATTACCCATTGTAGATTCATAATTAAAAAATAGGTCAAAAATACAATAATTTTGTAAATAGATTTGACTGTCCTTTTTATGAGATTGCTATCTCTATCAGAATTAGGAATTTGAGATTTTAGCTTATTTCTTGATAAATTCCTATATTTGCAATTCTTGTGAGTATTTTTCTTTGAATCCATGATAATAACTAATAGTTATTAATTTATTTTATTAAGAAACTAAACTATGGTTTGAAAAATGTTTGATACACATAGAAAATCTGATCTTAAAATTTTCTATATTTTTTTGGAAATGCATTTTTCGTAATATAAACAATTTTTAATATTTTTTAACTAATATAAATCATAATACATTTAATCACAATAAATTTAAACAGTATACTTATCGTTGGAATCCTTATTTTATCTATTAAATTTGTCAATTTAAGTACGACTGCTAAAGTAAAATTTTAAATTATGATAATTTAAAAGAACAAAATAGATTCGCACTGAATAGAATTCAAAGAGATTAATGAGAGTTAGAATTTGATAATCAAGTTAATTTATATGAAATAAATAAAAATTAATTAAATTCATTAGTGATACCATTCCATAAAGTAAATATCAAAATTTTTGAGTGTTTAAATTTGTAATTTTATACAATAATATAATTAAATAAAAATTAATGAATATTTTGGCTAAATATAAGAGGTTTGAAAAAACTTTAGAAAACATTGCTACATATAAAGATTTAAGGAAATCAATAAAATAAAGCTTTAAATTTATATTGAAGCATAACTTTACAATATTTTATTATGATGAAGATAATGATAAAATTACAATATCAAACTAAGAAGATCTAAATGTTGTTATTCAAGTAATAATTTAAATTTATAATTAGGAAAACGAGAAATTTGAAATTATTGTTCAAGAAATTGATGATACTTCTGAATTGTCTGATGATTCCTTTTAAAAACTTGATAAAAGTGTTAATGAATCAGTTAATTAATTTAGAAAGTTGAGCAATGGTCAAGCTAATAATGATTCTAATAGTCCAAAAATTATATAAAATTAAAAATAATAAGAAATTGAAAAAGAATTGGTAAAAGTTAAAGGTGCAAATAATTAAGAAGAAATTTTAGAATAAAAAAGAGAGAGAGTAATAAAAGAAATATAATAAACCATTGAATATATAAGTTCATAAGTACTAAAAATTGAAAATGATGATACAGAAAAAAGATTGAATGAAAAAATATAAAATCTTTAGAAACCTTAATTTAATGAATTCTCATTAGCCAAAGAATTAAGTTAGCTTCAACTTATATAATAAATTGAAAAGGCTGAAAATAATATGATAAATCTTGACAAAATAGAAAGAGAAGAGTTAAAAAAAAATTATAATACATTAGTAAAATAAGTACAGAATATTGCATCAGATAGAATAAAGCAATAAAATGCATTTGTACTTGAAAATAATGATTATGCTAAAACATTATAAAAAATTATGTAAGAGATCAATCAAACAAAATTGAAAAATTAAAGATAATTGAAATAATTTAATGGATTATTAAATTAATATTAAAAAAAACTAAGTTAAGCAGAAAACAAGAAAACTAATTTAGATAAAATAGAATATATGAACAAAGAGTAATTGGAAATTTTTTTAGATAATCAAATAAAAGAAGAATTGAAGGCGAAAAAATAAAAATAATTAGAGGATCAAAAAAAGAAGGAATAATTAGGAAATTTGTAGAATCAAATAAATGAAAAAGAGATTTAAATTTAAAATGATAATATAGAGAATAGTTCTGAGAAGGATTGAAAGATATAACTACATTAATATATAAAATTATGTTAAATATTTTCATATTTATAATGCAATTGCAGCTTGTAAAACTGATAAAGCTTTATCTTTTGCTATTTAAAATTTAGGCAAATTAACTGGAGATTCTAATTACCATCTATTTTTGTAATGAAGGTATTAAAGAACTATTTCAAGTATATCTGCTGTAAAATCTGAAAGAATTTGAAATTCTCCTCTAATATCTGCTTTTGAAATCTATTTTTTAAAAACTTCACTTAATCCAGCTATTTCTTTGGCAACAATAAATTCAATTCCATTAGATGATAGAATAGTAATATATGCAGATGACATTTTTATTAATTTATTTAATATAAATAAGAAGAAGAGAGAAAAAAATTTAATTATCATTTTTTAATACAAGCTTCGGGATTATAACAATACTCGTTAAATTATTCTTAAGATTAAAATCAATAATACCACAAAGAGTGTTATTTCTGAGTAATATGAAATTTTTTTCATTTTTTTCCTCGATGGTATCATCAAGTGATCCCTCATATCCATTAAATTTTTTTGGATAATAAGGTGGATCAAATTTTTTTTTTAATAATCCATCCCAATCAAAAGAACTAAACCAAGGATGATTTTTAACATCAGAAGGATTAAAAGTTCCTAATCTATCTTCTGGTTTTCTTTGTATAAGCTAAAAAGTACTATTAAAAATATACTTTATTAATAAAATCACCAGCTTCTATTGACCAAGCAACAGGTAATTATGATCTTTTAATTTGTACTTATTTTGATAGGATTTACTCTCTAATCTCTTATCTTGTTTTTCCAACATAAGGTCGTTTACCAAGCATACATTCATAAATTATAACACCCAAAGCAAAAAAATCAACAGCAATACCATGATTTTATTTACACATTACTTCAGGTGCCATATAACCTGGTGTTCCACTTGTATCAGAAGCATTTTCAGGTCTCCAAACTCTTGCAATTCCCATATCTGTTAATCTAAGATAACCCTATTCATCAAAAACTAAGTTTTCTGGCTTAAGATCTCTATGTATTATTCCTTATTAATGTAGATACTCCAAACTTAAAATTATACATGCAGCAAAAAATTCTTAAAAGTAGTATTACAAAATAATTTACATGCTTCTTCCTCTGAAAATCTTTTATTTTTGCAAATATGATATCTCATATCACCTCCACTGAGAAGATCTAGCAATAAATATAAATTTTCTCTATCTTAAAATGCTGAATGCATATTCACAATAAAAGGATGGCATAATTATGTTAACAAATTCTTTTCATTTAAGACTGCTGTTATGCTTTTTTTTTAGATGATTCTAAATTATTAAGAAATAATAAATACTTAGCTTTTGACATAACTTTCATAGCATAAAGTTTATTATTTTTTTTTCGTTTTACTTTAAAGACCTTTCCAAATCCACCTTTTCCAAGAATATCTAGGATTTCGTAATTTCGTATAGATTACACTAATTTTATAGGTAATTTAATACTAGCTTCTTAAAATTCTACTTTTTTATCCATAACATTACAATTACCCATTTATCTCAATTTTATAGTAAACTAAATGCTAATAAATTATTTAATAATAGAAATTTTCGTATTTTTTTTGTTTGCACCCTTCTATCTTTGTTACAACTAATAGGATTATATAAAGTAGACGTATAAATATAAAATTTAAGTAACAAAAAATTTCCTAATATAAATTTAAGAATTTGGAATTATTATAATTAATGAAGTTTCTTTTTAAAATATTCTTAATAAAATAAATGTAAAATGAGTCATAAAATTAAATAATCAGCGTCCTCTTCCTCTTTTTTTAACAGGTTAGTAGATTTCTTCTCCTTCAAAACTATCTTCTTCTTCAATTTTTTATTTTTAAGTAGATCCTTTATTTTTTCCTTTAAATTTAGAACAATCATCACTATTATCATTATCTTCTTATTTAGCTTTTCCTCTTCCTCTACCTCTTCCACCTGCTTATCCTTTAGATCTTGAAGACATATTAGTACATTCCAAACTTACATTACTCATAAATAAATTAACAATATCTCTATATTTTTCCATTCCTTTAAAGTCTGGTTAAAGTAAATCTTCTGGTTCTTCAATATTCTATTCTTATAATGCTAATCCTTATAAATATGTATAAAATCTATATAAATTATATATATTTTAACTTTTAAATTGAAGGATCTTCAAAATTTGAACAATCAAAGTCTTAAATTGTTAATGCATTTACTAAAATCTTAGCTGCATTTAAAGTTTATCTTGTAATTTCTGCTCCTTCTTATTTTACTGAAGATAATCCTCTTATATCATCAGCATATGGTAAAAATATTAAATGCAATCCTGGAGGAGTTTAAAAATGATTTTCATCATATTATTCAGGTTATGGTAACAATGCACAAAATCTGACTTATGATCCTTATTTTGGAACTAATCTTACTATTCCAATTTTCTCTTTTAATATCATTTATTATATTAAAGCATCAAAAAATTATGAAGATCCATTTACATGTTCGTCATCTGGATATAAAAAATATGAGGCTCTATAATTATGATAATCTTTCAATGCACTTGAAGATTTAAAACCAATTAATGTCATTCCAGGTTTTTCAAATCCTTTTATTTTAGCCATATATTCTTTTGGGATTGCTATTTTCTCATTTCCTAATATCAAATGAGTTGATATTTATTAAGGAAACAGTGCTTAACCAGTTTCTTCATCAATAAATTAAGCTTTCTTTTTAAGTTATTAATTGTATCTCCTATCTAATGGTTTACCATATGGTTTTTTAGCTTTATTTACTAAACAATATATTTTAAGTCCAATTTTTATATCATCTATATCCATAATTAATCTATTTAAAGCTCTCTTTTTAAATTCTTTTTATTTAATTCTTTAATGTAAATCCATTATTTTAGTTGATGTATCAAGTACTGCATTATTAACTTCATCCAAATCTACTGTTATTATTTCTCCATAAAATCTTGCTATCTTAAATTCATTCTAACTAGGTAATGGAAATAATTCAATCTAAACATCTGCATCTTTTAATTATTTTGCATATTTTAATGCTGATGCTCTTGAATTTTAATCTTTAAAATAAGGTAAATCATCTGGAGTGAATAAAAATATACGCATATTAAATTTATTTTTATCTCTATTAAATATTTAAAAATAATTTACAATTCTTTGAATTCATGATTACATAACCATAAACATTCATGAAAATGAGCATTATTTCCTAATTAATAATCTTTTTCAAAATTTTATTCTATTTTTAAACAATTTTTTATAATATCAGCAGATGGTCCATCTAATTTATATATTTCAGTGATGTTATTAAATTTTAATTGATTATTTGTTGATTTCTAAATAAATAAGTATAAATTACAGTATTATAAAATATCATACCAATTCTATCATCTGGACTTGATATTATTTTAGCCTTCATAAAACTAGAAAAGGCTGATAATATTTTTGAAAAAACTGTTCCTTATCCATCTTAATCTATATTAAACAAAGATTTCTTGCAATCAACTAAAAATATGACTGCATCTTTTTTGCTTCCTGAATCATGAACTGATATATCAGCATCTTCTCCAAATATATCCTCTCCATCTTATATTTCTTCTATATCATCTCCGCCTACATGCTCCTCTTCAAAATCCATTTTATTTATTAATTTAATGAACAGACATACTACAAAAATTATTTTATTAATTAATATCATTATAATTATTTGGAATGATAATGTTTTAAAAGTTAAAAAAAGACAAGTTATTTTGTCCTAAGGTATGTTTTATACTAAATTAAATAACTATCTTAAGACAATTTTGAATTATAATCAAATTTAATATGGATGATGATATTGAGGCATTACTTATCTAACCTAACAATTTATTATTATTTTAATACCATTTGTTACAATTGATTATACTGAAAAGTCAAATAGGAATAATTTTAATTCAATTATTATTTCTCTTGTTATAATTAATTGACTCTCCCTTATAAATATATATTCTAAAATTTATTTAAAGTTTATTACTTATGAATTTAATTATTATATTAAAATAGCTTGATTTCTATTTTACTCCTCCACATGTTAAAAATGAATTGTATCTAAATTATCTTATACACTATTTTATCTCTATTAGCATTATTACTCTTTAGTTAACCCTACTAATTCTTTAAAACTCTTACAATTACCTTAAATTACTATCTCAGGTATTACTAATTCTTTCTAAGTCTTATCCCTTTTCATTTTTTTAGATATTCTTCCTTCTTTTCTAAAAATCTGTAAAATAGCCTTTGCTGTTGAAAAATTAATATTTAAATCTCTTGCAGCACTTTTTATTGTACAACCTGTTGTTGTTACTTATTTAATAAGTTTTTATCGCTGTTCATCTGATATTTTCTAGTACTTTAATCCATGCTTACCTTTTTCAATTTATTAATACACTATACCTTTATATCTACACAGAAATTCCTATTCTTCCTCAGGAGTTCTCTTTATTGAAGACTTTTGGTTCAAATCCCTTGCAAAATCATAAGCAGAGTCATCTGAGTCTGAGTCTTTTGATGATGTTGAACTATTATTCTTTTATTACTCTTATGGCCTTTCTGCTGAAGAATGTTATTAAATAGAAGTCATACAATTTGAGTATATCAATTTAAAAAAATAATTGAAAAAAATGTTGAATTTTGCATATTTTATAGTGTTTTTGGCATTTTTATGGTATTCCTGATTTACTCAAAAAATTCTAAATTGTACTTTATTGTACAATAAAGATTTATAGCTTGATTTAAGGATAATTATCAACTTATCTAAATATTTACTAAAATATAATCATTCTTTGATTCGATATTAATTTATATATAAAATTCATCAAAATATATTAATTTTATTTATAATTAGAATAACTCATTCAAAATTTTAAAGAATATAAACCTCATAAATATATATGTAATTATGTGAAATTTTTAATCCAAACCAAAATAAAATAAACTTTTTAAAAATCTTTATTAATATTTTTTTTGTCTAATCAATAAAGTTCTGTATACAACTAAGATTCTATTAATAAATTTTTATTTTTTGTAATATATATCCTATGATTTTTTCCATATATAGAGATTTAATTATACATTATCAGTTTTGGTTTTAATAGAAATTTGAAGTTCTTTATCACTTTCTACTTAATTTTAAATAGTTGTATTAAATTGTAAATCTCACCAAAATTACTTATCATAATACCATCTATAAATGTTTTCAATTTTGTAGTTTAAATGAATAATTCAATCATCTATTTCTTTTGAAAAGAAATTATTTATCAATAATAAATTAATATTTCTTAAATATATTAATATTTGATGAAAAAGATTTTTTATAAATAATTTATTAAAAAAAATTTAGATATTCACAATATCATATGTTCACTTTGAAATAATTTTTGTACTACAAAAAGATCAAACTAGAGATCAAGTTAGTTTTTACTAAAGACCTTCAAATAATCCATCGTTTTATTTTATTCAAGTACTAATTCATCCTATTTAGTTAAACTAAAATAGCATACTTCATCAGAATTATTTAATTATGTTTTGACAAAAATGAATGGGAATCTAATCTTCTCACTTTCATCGACATCTCTCATTTTGTTTAATTCTACTAATTTTTTAAGACTTTCTTATTCTTTTATTTTATTTGTTGCTGAGGCTTTTTTTATTTATAATTATTCTTTTAATTTTTGCTGTTAAAATTAATTTTAATTTCTTACTTTTCTTATTATTAAATTCTACTTTGTTAGATTAACTTGGGTTTCAGCATTTTTTCTCATTAATTTTTTTTCTTTAACAACAATTCCAATAGAAATCATTACATTTAAAGCATCATAAACTCTTCTTCTAAGATTTTTGATTTCCTTTTGTCTATCATTTTATTATCCATCAAACTCTTATATCATTTCATCTGTCAATTATTAGCAAATATCACTACAAGCCATAGCTTCATGTGATAATTCCATCATAACTCGATTACTAATATATTTTAAACTCCATTTCTTTTGAGATTTTATTTGATCTAATTGAATCTTTGGTTTATTGAAGGGTTCAGTCTAAACAAATAATTTTTAATTTGTGTTTGCTTGAGAATTGCAATTAGCTTCTGAATCTAAAAATATATTTTTTTGTCACAAATTTGTTGTATAAGCGCGAAAATATTCCGCCATAAACAGGTAATATAATATATGACAAGGATGTGATAAATAAAAGCATACCTTAAAATTAGCCTTTTACAGGTGTTTAGAAGATATTTATTGCCATTGAATCCTCATCTAATCTAAATTATCCTGTGAAATCCATCTTATAGTAATTTAATAAATTATTTATACAAATAAATTCTTCATAAATTATGTTTTTATATAAAAGATATTCTTCTATCATACCCATTTATTTAAACCAAAGAATTAATAAAATATGTAGAATACATATTCAAAAAATTCTAATTAATAACTTATTTTCAATATTAGTGGCTGTAAAAAAAAAAGATATATTTTATATATATTTTATAAATATTTTAAGTAAACTGCTAAACCATTTTAATTTATTTTAACATATTAAACTCTCTCATAAAAATTAACTTTCTAAGACTACTATACCCTCTACTAGATTTAGTTGAATTATTTTTAAGATTGGATAAGCCAGGGCTGCTTTTAAAATATCTTCTTCTAAAAAGCCAAGTTAATTATATATTTTATCTGATAGCAAAATTGTAATAACAACATAATCAAATTTTTAATCTTCATAATCCTAAATTCTAATTGATATTTTTTAGAAAAATTAAACATCATCCAATTTTTTGAATCGAATAAGTTTGATATCTTATTAACTTAATATCATCTTAATTTTAAAATTGAAGAATAAAATTATATTATTATAAACATTTTAAGAATATCTAAATACTTTTAAACAAAAAAATTTTACTAAGAATTTTAAATAATAACTGATTGTTTAATTTATTCCTTATTTTTTTGTTTAATAAGAAAAACTAGATCAAAGTTCATTTGATTATTGTTCACTTTATTTTTTCATATCTAACAAAATTAAAACTTAAAACTATTTGATTAGGGAATCAAAATTAAAAAAAAAATTTTTTATTTCTTAAAATTTTTTCTATTTTTTATCTCTAAAAATGTTGAATTAAATTCTCTTTACAAAACTAATCTTAATTTTGTACAATAATTATTAAGAGTTTATTAGATCAAAATTAATAAAATTCATATAATTATTTATGTTCAGAAAAATATACACAAATATATCAATAACACTGATAAAGCAATTGAGAGAAGTATCAGGTAATTTGAATATTTTAACTTAAGGCTCTCCTATCAACGATTGCAAAAAAGCCTTAGAATCAACAGATGGTAATTTTGAGATGGCCATTCAATATTTAAAGGAAAGAGGATTGGCTTAAGCTGAGAAGAAATTGGGTAATCAAACTAAACAAGGAGTAATTGTAGCCTTTAGTAATAATAAAGTGGCTGCCTTAGCTGAAGTATCAACAAATTTAATATGAATATAGATAAATTGTGAAACAGACTTTGTAGCCAGAACTAATGAATTTTTAGAATTTTCGACAAATTTTATAAAAACAGTTGTTAATCAAGAAAAAGATTTTAATAATTCAAATATAGATTCTGTTCTAAAGTAAAGCTAGAATCAAGCTTATTTTGAAACAAGCATAGATGATAAGCGTAAATAATTAGTAGGAAAATTATAAGAAAATATAGTGATTGGTAACTTGAATGCATTTGTAGCATCAAATAACAGTACTAAACTTAGCAATATCCTAAGGTGTGTTTGGAGTATATCAGCATAATTGCTTAAAAAATACAATATGTGGATTGGGAGGTAGTGTTGTCGAATTAATTACTGAATAAGGTTTAAATGATGTGAAATCATAAATCTTAAGAGAAGGAGCCAACAATTTAGCTGTTACTTATTTAGGTTTGAAACCTAGATTCCTTTATGAAAATTAGGTAGCTTCAGATGTAGTTGATTAAATTAGAAAAGAAGTTTAGAAAGAATTTGTATCCAAAACTCCTCAATAACAAAATTTTATACTTAAGGGCAAACTTCAAAATTATTATTCAGATAATGTATTTGAACATCAAGAATATATCTTAAATGAAGATGAACCATAGACTATTAAATAGTATATCAAAAAAGAGTTAGAAGATGTCATTAAAGATAAAGTCAAAATTGGAAGATGTCTATACTTAACAATATGATTTTATATATCATATAATCAGAGGGAATGTGATATTTTCTTATTTTCTTAAATCTTCTCCGCAATAACTCATATAAGGGGTAATTTCAACTAATTCTTCATCTTGAGTTCCTTCAAGTTTTAAGTATTTTTTATGAACATTGGAGAGTTAAATCACAGCCTTTTTAGGATCATTAACCAAAATAGCGTAGTCTTCAATCTAATACAATATAGTTGAATTTGCTATTTCTATAATGTCTTAAATGTGCTTCTCAAATTAGATTGTTGGTCCTCTTCTTATAACATGATATCTTGAGGAAAATTTCATTGATTTTTCATGATTTGATTTTAAATTATTTAGAAAAGCAACAGATATATACATGTCATTCAAACACATATTTGCTAAATTTTCTGGATTTTCTGTCATACTTGAATCCTGAGTTTCCATAGTTTTAAAGTATCCATTTTAATAAAATATTCTATCATCTTATGTTGAATTTGTTTCAATAACTTTACAAATTACATCTGTTTAACTTTAATTAATAAGATTAAGGATGATAGGATCTAAAGGTAGTCCTGCCAAATTATCAAAACCTAATAGATGAATATATTGCATATTTGGAAATTTTCTAATTAAAATAACAGTTTTACTTTTAAAATGTAGATAATTATAAAAAGATGCTTCCTGCACCATTTGGAGCTAAAACAGGTTAATTAGATTCAAACATGACCTATCCATGCTTATTGATAATTGGGAGAGATTTTTGTTACATTATGTGAATGTATGGAAATCCAAAATCTTTTTTGTTTTTTAGATATTATTGAAAAGCCGTTGCATTTTAATCAGAAACCAATATCCCTATTGGAAATCCACTAAAATCCATAGTATCTTAGGCTTATTATTTTAAAAATTGATAGAGTACCCATTAAGATAATCTTTTTCAATCGTTCCATCATGATTTAAAAAATGCATTTTCTGGATGGAAATCCTATATCGTTAAGGATTTTATTAGGCAATCGAGAACTATTACCACCACATAATAAAACAAAACCAACCTTACGTTACTGACTATCTTATAAATATCTATACCTAAATTAGATCTAAGTCTTTTTCTATAAGGTTACTACAAAATTTAACTTATCCTTTAAATATATCCATATGAGTCTATTTACAACAATGATAAAATAACTAAGCAATAGAACTAATATGAATACTGAATCAACTGTCTCAAAATCTATGGATTCCATTTTAGCCATAAATTCTTTCTTTTCTTAAGGTTTCATCACACTAAGCAATTTTAAGATATGATCTTATTTAGCTGCAATAATTCTTTAAATTAATGAAGAATAAGTAGTATCAATTTATTCAGCTACAATTATTTCAACCTTTACTTTAAGCAATATTATTTGCTATGTTTTCTAGTTTCTAATAAGTTGAATAACGATTAAAATCCAAACCTTAAGAAGTGTTATCTACCTGAACTTTAGATGTGCATTCACCCATTATTGCTATTTAAATAATAAAAATAATTTATAAAATAATATTTCAAAACTCAATTTTATTATTTTCGTTTTTTTTATAGTGAATGAAAGTTTTCAATAATCCTCATTTCCATTCTAAAGGTAGTTCATCTAAACCTTCTTCTCTTTAATCATCAAGAGTAGGAGGTAGTAAAATTATTGGAAGTCCTTAAGGATAAGAATAGGACCTAAGTGAAATGTTATAATAACTTAATCCTACATAAATTATAGCTTAAGAAGAAGAATCAAAGTTTGATTTATAATAAGAAATGCTGCAGTTGAAAAATAAAGTATTGGGTTTACTTAAAAAATACTAAGTAATGTTATAAAATGAGAATACAAAATAAGTGAAGAGTAAAATCAAATCAGATGTTTAAGAAATCTAAATTGAATATGAAGATATAATATCATAATATTAAATAGATTAGAGTAAACTTGAAATTGAGAATAATATTCCAACTGTAGAAAAAGAGAAAGTAAACAATATTATTTATAATATTAAAGGAATTAAATACCTTTTTTAATTTAGTCGAAGAATTTTTAGAACGTTTCTCTCATCATAAAGCTACTATGAATTATTTTTCAATTTTGTAACAATAAAAAATGAATCGAAATGGATTGGGAGTTTTTTCTATTGATCAAGATGGCAGATAATCTATGTATGATTTTTAAGAATCTTTACCTGATTTAACAGATAGCAATAATTCTGAAAATACTCATGAAGCCCAACAGGCAAAAATAGCATTATCTAATTCATAAAAATTAAGAAGTCAGATTAGAAGACGTTTTTTTGATTTGGCTTTGAAAATCAAGGAAGGACTACCACTTTATCATCCAGGTAGATAGATTTTAGTATCCATTCTTTTTGAAGATGCTGAAGAAGAGGGAATCGATGAAAATGAATGGGAATAATGGATTGTGAAATAATTAAATAAGTGATTTATAATGTTATAAGATGAGATTATGTAACCTTCTTTTAGGTTATCTGATTTATTCAAATATGAAGATTAAAATCTCTATACAGACTCACCAACCAAAAGAAAGTCTTTGGCAACTCCAAAATCACTTTAAAAATAAATATTTGATATAACTAATGGAGCCTTTTAGTTCACTATTGCAGAATTTACTTAAAGTATTAAAAAAGAAAGAGTACCTATTTAAAAAAATCTTATCAAAAAAATTAATCAATATGTTGAAAATGAATGCTAATAAATGCAAGTTCAATAATAATTAGAAAAGAGAATTCATTAAAAAATAATTGAAGATCTTAATTTATTAGTTTTTTCATTATGTCATATGTCCAAACCAATTGTAGACTTCCTAGAAAATCATATCATTGATTATGCCGAGGAATTGTAAATAACTATTTGGGAAATTAATCTCTAACTATTCTAACCTAAAATTGTTGAACTTATAAAAAAAAATATTGCTTCAAGTATGAATATCATTTCTGGTAACTTGTATTCTCAATTGCTTTAGCAATCACATTAATTATTATGCAATTTATCATTTGAAGTTAGTGATTAGATCTGTCTAATTTTAGAGGAATGCAGAGGTTATATATAATCATTTATTGCTAAATTTAGAGAAAGAGTAACATTTTTTATATAATATAGAATATCCCATAAATATTATTAAATAAATATACTATCTTAGCATTATTTTAGGAATTAAGTTAACTTTGTTACTAGACAATTTAAGACCTCTTAGAGTTTACACTCTTTCATTATGCTGAACCTGATGTTGTTGAAAAATTTATGAAATATGCTATTGAAAATTACGACACATTAATATTGAAAAACAAAATGCTTTCTAATTAAGCTTAACAGAATGAAAATATTAATTAAGAAACCGTTGATTAAGTATTAGATTGTCTTTAATAATGTATTACAAATAAAAATAAATCAATTGCTGTGTATAAAATATAATGTAAATAAAAACTGTAAAAATAATAAAATGAAGATGATGAAGATTAATGTACATTATCCACAAATATGAAATCTTTTAAAATGTAAATGGAAACAAAATATTATTTGAATGGATTATATTTAGAAAGTGAGGATCCTTAATCTAAATTTATTATTTATGCAGTGAATGATAAATTTAAAGTCATTTATGCTCCTTTGATTAGTAAAAGATGGGCATTTTAGAAAGTAAATTGATTAATTCTAATAAGACATATGTGATTGATTAATAAGATAAGGAAGGGTTTTTTAGAAAAGATTCTAATAGAAAATCAGGTTGGGGAGTATATCCAGTAAAATTCAAATCAATGAAAGAAATGATCCATTCTAATTGGGTTCATGAATAATTGGGTTTAATGATTTTAAATTAATATTAAGAAGATGGGTACTAAAAAAGAGAGATTGAAGGAGAAATGGATACAATGTTTGGATCATTTTTAGCAAGCGTTAGTAGAAATAAGTATTTGAAAAACCTATTAATAGAGAATTTTTAAAAAGTTTCGGTGAAAATGCAGTGAAGAATGGATGTATGTAATAATTGGTTGTTTACATGCCTTTATTAAAGGATTTTTTAAATTTAGGAGGATTTGGAGCTTAAGCATTATTAACAAGTTAAGAAATATATACTCCTTAAAGAACATTTACTTCAACATTAGCAATATCAACATCATTAGTATCAGGAGCAATAATTGGATAAGCTTTGATACCAATACCGTTAGTAGGAGGAATAGTTGGAGGAATTATAGGAGGGTATTTGGGTAATAAAGGAATGACAAATTATACAAAGAGTAGAAATGAAAAAAAGTCTTAAGAAATGGTATAAAAATTATTACAAAATTAATAACAAGATGGACATTGGGAATGTAATAAAATCAATTTAGAAATTATGGTTATAAATTTAAAAATATTAAATGATAATATGCCTAAGATTATAAGTGATGATAAAGACAGATAGACAAAATGGTTGAATTTAGTGATATTTGGAGTATTGAGTTTGTTCTTTAATTCGAATGAAATGGCGGGAGAGTGGCAAGAATGTTTAGATTGTCTACTAAAATATATACAATTAGAGAAAATATAATTGGCAGATACTCTAGAAAATTTAAAATAGATAGTTGAAGTCATAGTAAAAAATCTTTGACTTTATATTAATTTAAATATGAAAATACCTCTTAATACTCTTGAACAGCCTAAAGAAATAGACCGTCGTGTAATTTCTTTAAGTTTAATTTTAGCTCTTGGCATCAATCTTAGCAAGTCCTAACTTCTTGGAAGAGTTACTTTAACTAGTCAATGACAAGAGTAATGTTATCCACAAATTATCTTTGGGATCATTAACTTTACTTTTGGATAAATTAGATGATTATATATAAAATACGGCTTAGCTTGTATAATAAAACTCAAGGCATGATTGTTCATAGTTGTTAAACCTCATTAATTGTTTAATGGAGTATGAATGTTATAGGTAACAATTTAAAAAAATATTCATAGAAAATTGTTTAATTCATTAGAACATCTATTAAGCATAGTTGAGCATACAGATGGTTTGTAAAATTATGAGACCATTATGAACATTCTAATCAAAATTTTTGATTAAGCAATTAATCTCAACAATCCTTAATAAAAAGAAATCTGCAATCAATAATTAAGAGATAATATACCTAGATTAATTTATTTGAATAGATTTCTCTTTGATCACAATAATACACTTTCATCAACTAAACTAGAATTGATTGATTATTTTCATGATGATCCAAATTATTTATCTATCACAGATAATCCAATTTAATTTCCTTAATTGTAATTTGAATATGTAGAGCCAACTATATTAGATGAATCTTATGCAGATTTATGTAAAAATGGTGTTCATAAAAAGGAATTGCAACATTAAACATCAATTAAAGTATTATATTATTGTTTAAATTTAGAATTTTAGTATATAAGATGATAATTCAATGTCTGCCCTTCTTTTAGCAAAATCAATATTAGGATAATAAGATATGCCTCTTTCTCCTTTAGTAGAAGCTGTTAAATATCGAATTTTAATTTATAGAGGTTTGGCATCAAATAAAATTACTACCAATACATTGGTTTTAGGTATGCACATTTTATCTCTTGAAATGAATATGTTATTAGATGCATTCTGTTCAACTCATGATTGTGCTTTTTTATTAGATTAAGTATTTGTAGAGAAAATTGAATATGAACAATATTTCAGTACATATGCTAAATTATTTTAATTGAAAACTGTTTAACCAAAATTACTAGTTACAATTTTATCAACATTAGATGAAATATTAGTAACAGAAAGACAATAGGATAATGAAATAGCACTAAATACAGCCAAAAATTACGATGAAACATTTTTATAATTGATTTATGATGTTTTATCAATGCAACCACATCATATTGAAATAGAATCAAGTTATCCATTAAAATATAATGGATAACTTTTAAATGAATAAAGTGCAAGAGATGAGGAAGTTGCTTGTGGCATTTTTAAATTATTTTCTTCAGAATCTGGAGTACTATTATTAAGTAGAAGTAATATAGCACTTGGATCATCATAAGCTTTAATTAGAACACTACTTATTTAAGATAATAAATCATTTTTACCTCCTGAAATACTTAAAGCAGCAATAGGAATGTTAGGAAGACTTTCTAGAAAAGAAGAGCTACAAAGAGATCTTAAAATATTTAATGATCTAATTAAAGTAGTTGAAAATTTAATATCTATTGGACCTAATCTAATCAAACCTACAGATTAAGGATTTTAAAACGTTACTTTTGATGAGACTGATTCTATCATTTCATTTGCTATCTAGAGTATTAATGAGCATTTCAAAGATGATCTAGGAAGAAGATATAATAGAGCTAATGCACCTACTATTGCCAGAAAGGTATCAGAAACTCAAATTATTAAAAAATTATAAAATTTACTTTAAGATAGCAGATATAATCTTATTATATAATAAACACTTATTTTGATTTCACATCTGGCAAATGAGGTTCCAACTCTGATTGG